TAAAGACATTTGTATTTGTCTGTTAGAGAAGGTTATTGGTGATTAGTAATCGTGTGATTTGGAACAAGGGAAAGAGCAGAAATTGCACCTCAGTGCTAAACAATAAAGTGGGGAGGGGAACGATTTCTTGAGCACAGGAGTCCCAAACAGTGAACTAAGGAGCCAGCGTCTCTTCGTTGCACCTGGGATTATCAGTCACGTTTTACAGTTGAGAAGACTCATGTGCTGAAAGATAAGTAACTTCCACAAGTAACACAGCTAATAAGTGGTAGTGCCAGGAATGGTTGATGAAGAGGCAGACAGAAAATGAGGACTCCATGTTAAGGATTTACCAGGGCAAGTGAAGATGTTTCTGTAGTGAAAGGGACCTACGCATTTAAATAAATAAATAAATAAATAAATAAATAAACCAGAGGAGCTGAGTGCAGTGACTCATGTCTGTAATCCCATCCATTCGGGAGGCCGAGGTGGGAGGATCACTTGTGGCCAGAACTTTGAGACCAAGTGGGCAACATAGCAAGACCCCGCCTCTATGTTAATAAATAAAAGTAAGCAAAGGGGATGGCATGAGCCTGTAGTTCTAGCTACTGGGGAAGCTGAAGTGGGAGGATTGCTTGTGCACTGGAGTTCAAGGCAGCAGTGAGCTATGATCATGCCACTGTGTTCTAGCCTGGGTGACAGAATGAGACCCTGTTTCTTTTTCTTTTCTTTTTTCTTTGAGACTGAGCCTTGCACTGTCACCCGGACTGGAGTGCAGTGGTGCAATCTTGGCTCACTGCAACCTCTGCCTCCCAGGTTCCAGTGATTCTCCTGCCTTAGCCTCCCGAATAGCTGGGATTACAAGCACCTGCCACTACCCCTGGCTAATTTTTTGTATTTTTAGTAGAGACGGGATTTCACCATGTTGGCCAGGTTGGTCTTGAATGCCTGGCCTCATGATCCACCTGCCTAGGCCTCCCAAAGTACTGGGATTACAGGCATGAGCCATCACGCCCAGCCTGAGATTTCTAAAAAATTGTTTCTAAAAAAATTGCAAAAACAGCCTGAGATAAGGTCTTGAAAAACAAAAATATCAGAGGAGAAGGAGACAGAACTGGAGTGATTAAAGATTCAAGACAAAATTATTGAGCAAGATCTTTTCCTGGATGAATGAGGAAGAAGACTCGGGTAGAAAGTTATTTTGAGGAGGACAAGTAACAGCAAAGTGAAACAGGGAGAACAAAGGGCTAGAAGACTGAGATAATTGGGTTTAGGGCGTGGGTGTGCATGCTCTGGTTTCTGCTCAGATTGGATAAATCTTTGACCTTTTACAAGGGACATGGGTGGAAAGGCAGAAAAGTAAGCACAGCAATGACAGGCTGGGGAGCACTTTGCAAACAAAGAGTGGGGAGTTTCATGGAGCAAATTCTTCATCTTTCCAGACTGGTGACTGCCCTCACCCCCAAAACCAGTCCTCTGCAGTTCAAGAGAGGAGGTGGAAGACGACTTCGTTGATGACCCCAGGTGATGGGCTTCTCTGATGGCCTGAATATTCTGAAATTGGCCCTGCAGTCAATTCTGACAGCTCACTCTGGAGTTCAGGTGGAGACACGAACAGGCCAAGGAATGAGACTGAGGAGGTGTGGAGGAAGAGGAAGTACGGTGTCGGAATCTAACTTGGCTATTGTGGGCGTTGTTTCTCTTACTGGGCTAGGCTCCTTTGGGGCAGCATTTTCTGATCCAGCAAACATTTACCGAGCACCTATGCTATGCCAGATCTGGGACTCAGTACCAGGAATGCAGACATGATCTCTGCCCCCACCAAGTTTGCCATCAATGAGCAAGGCAAGCAACACTGAATTCCGGTAAGAGTTTTGAAAGAGAAGCCGGGAGGTCACTCAGCATCTAAGAAAGCCCAGAGGTGGGGAGGGAGAACACTATCATGGGTGCTTCATAGGTTTTTGAGTGAATCTGTGAATAAATGAACGCAGGGATGGGAAGGTGACTGGAAAATAAGTTATTCTCTAAGATCTTGAAGCCTTGAGATCAAATCATGTGCTTGTTTTTTGTTTGTTTGTTTTTTTGAGACAGTCACACTGTTGTCTAGGCTGGAGTGCAGTGTGCAACCTCCACCTCCTGGGTTCAAGTGATTCTCCTGTCTCAGCTTCCTGAGTAGCTGGCACTACTCAGGAAGGCACCTGCCACAACACCTGGCTAATTTTTGTATTTTGATTAGAAACAGGGTTTTACCATGTTGGCCAGGCTGGTCTGGAACTCTGGATCTCAAGTGATCCACCTGCCTCAGCCTCCCAAAGTGCTGGGATTACAGGTGTGAGCCACTGCACCTGGCCCTTAATCATGTATTTTTAATATTCTAGAAATATTATGGTTATTGGAAAAAGGAAATCAACTCTCAGCAAATAAACTGGGAGTTAAAATTGGAATTCCCCCCAAGTCTCATTTTACTAAGGCACTCAGAAACAGGTAATTTCAAAGCAGCTTAGTATTGGGTTTAAGCAATCTTCCCCAGCTTGACCTTCCAAATGCTGGGATTATAGGCCTGAGCCGCCGCACCTGGCTTGAGTGTCTTTAGATTCATGTAAAAGGCAGAGAGCTACGAGTTAAGTGCAGATGGAGAAGATGCAGACACTCGGTTCTGTTTTAGTTTTGAGACAGGGTCTCACTCTGTTGCCTCAGCTGTAGTCGCATGATCATGGCTTACTGCAGCCTCAACATCCTGGGCTCAAGTGATTCTCCCACCTCAGCCCCCCAAGTAGCTGGGACTACACGCATACCACCACACCCAGCTAATTTTTATATTTTTTGGAGAGACAGTGTTTCATCATGTTGCTCAAGCTGGTCTCCAACTCCTGGACTCAAGCAATCTGCCCAGCTCAGCCTCCAAAGTGCTGGGATTACAGGCATGTGTCACTGTGCCCAACTGAGATAGCTGGCTCTTAGCTCCAAATGTACCCCTTCCTGTGTGATCACCCCACTGGCACTCTAGCCTGAGCAACATAGCAAGCCTCTGTTTAAAAAAAAAAAAAAAAAAAAAAAAGCCAGGCATGGCTCACGCCTGTAATCCCAGCACTTTGGGAGGCCAAGGCAGGTGGATCACGAGATCAGGAGTTCGAGATCAGCCTGGCCAACATGGTGAAACCCCGTCTCTACTAAAAATACAAAAATTAGCTGGATGTGGTGGCGTGCGCCTGTAATCTTAGCTACTCGGGAGGCTGAGGCAGGAGAATCGCTTGAACCTGGGAGGTGGAGATTGCAGTGAGCTGAACTCATGGGCCTAGCCTGGGTGACAGACAGAGATTCCATCTCAAAAAACATACAAACATAAAAACCCCCAGAAAGCACAGGCAGTTTGAGTGTCTCTATTTCTGTTTATTTATTTACTTACTTATTTTGAGAAAGAGTCTCACTGTGTCACCCACACTGGAGTCAGTGGATAGCTCACTGTAGCCTTGACCTCCCAGGCTCAAGCAATCCTGCTTCCTCAGCCTCCTGAATAGTTGGGACTAGAGCCACCTGCCACCACACCTAGCTAATTTTTAAATGTTTTTTGTAGAGTTAGGGTCTGGATATGTTACCCACACGGGTCCCCAACTGGCCTAAAGTGATCCTCCAACCTCAGCCTTCCTAAATGCTGGGATTACAGGTGTGAGCCACTGAGCCCTGCACATGGCTTTGCTTTGTCATCTGTAAAATGGGGACCATGATAATGGTTAGCGTATATTGAGCACTAGCGTTAATTGAACTATTTAGGATTGTTACACGAGTTAAATAAGATCACCTGTAAATACAGCCCTGAGGACAGTGCCTGATACCTTGTAAGACTTTCATACACGTTATGGTTTTCATTATTATTAATAGAGGAGAGAATGGGACCATCAAGGATCATTTTCCAGACTGGGTCGTAAATAGGAGGTAGTGAGGAAAGAGGTGTTCCGGGTAGGATGGGGGTCGGGGAAATGCCTTCTCCAATCCTTGGTGTGACCTGTGCATGGTGTGTGAGTGGCAGATTCCGAAGCGGGGCGGATCTGGGTGTTAAGCGCGGCTCAGCTTACTGGCTAGGTGGCCCTCATCGTCTATGTCTCTGAGTTCCCCCATCTGTAAGCGTTGCAAATCCGCTGTTGCCGCAGTTTGGCGCAAGGAGCTCACTGGGGGCGCAGTAAATGCCGATTTCCCTCGGGCATCTTCATTTTTCCTTAGAGCCGAGCTCGGTGCGTGGCGAGGAGGGGTGGGACGGGCGACGGTAAAAAGAGTAACAGCAGCAAGCGCACACACGGCCTTCCAAGCTTGCCAGACCCCGCTCTAACACGGAATCCGCACAACCTGAAAGGCAGGCCCTTTTTTGCTTTTTGTCTTTTAGAGACGGGAGGGTCTCCCTGTGTTGCCCAGGCTGGTCTCGATCCGCTGGCCTTAAGCGATCCTCCCGTCTGGGCCCCCTCACAGTGCTGGGATTACAGGCGTGAGCCACCGCTCCTGGCCAGGGCACGTCTTACTGTACTTCTTTTCAAATGGGAAAACTAAAGTGCAGCGGGGCTAAGTAACGTAGGAAGCACCAACCATGTTTCTAATCTAAGAAGTGAACTCTCAGCCGGGCGCGGTGGCTCAAGCCTGTAATCCCAGCACTTTGGGAGGCTGAGGCGGGTGGATCACGAGGTCGAGAGATCGAGACCATCCTGGTCAACATGGTGAAACCCCGTCTCTACTAAAAATACAAAAAATTAGCTGGGCATGGTGGCGCGTGCCTATAATCCCAGCTACTCAGGAGGCTGAGGCAGGAGAATTGCCTGAGCCCAGGAGGCGGAGGTTGCGGTGAGCCGAGATCGCGCCATTGCACTCCAGCCTGGGTAACAAGAGCAAAACTCCGTCTCAAAAAAAAAAAAAAAAAGAAGTGAACTCTCAACTCTCTCAGACAGAAGCAGCCGAGTCCTCGCAGCCTGCAGCACCCAGGGCGCCCGGAAGCCAGGGGGCAGGACCGCGTGAGGAAGTCCCGCCCCGCCCCGGCCTCCAGGCTTCCGCTTCCGCTCTTCTCAGTCCTCTTCACCCTGGCGGGGTCGGGGGGTGAGGATGGCGGCTGGTGGCGATCATGGTTCGCCGGACACCTACCGCTCACCTCTTGCCTCCCGCTATGCCAGCCCGGAGATGTGCCTCGTGTTTAGCGACAGGTATAAGTTCCGGACATGGCGGCAGCTGTGGCTGTGGCTGGCGGAGGCGGAGCAGGTAACGGGCCCCGGGCTGAGGGGCTGGGCCGGGAGGGACAGGCCCGCCCCAGCACGTGCCGGGATCTGTGCCGGGCTGGGCTTAGCCACCCCGGAGCTGCTGCCCAGCTATTTTCGGCTGGGTGTTCCCTGTCCTGAGGAGCTGCGGCCCTAGGAAGGCAGGACAGGAGGCCCGGGAGCCGCCACCTGTTGCTTCACGTGTTCTTAGTCTGGGAGAGTTTGAGACGCGGAGGAGGCTGGGGAAATGCAGCCTGTTTCAGAGAATTCACCTTGACCATCCCCGCAGAAGTAGGCTGCCAAGCACAGACACCGAGCGCTTGTTTCATGCCGTTGGGCTAATTGTTTCACAAATCTTCTCTCGTTTAATTCACGAAGATCTTGCAGGCTTGATGGTGTTTTTCCCGCATTGCAGGGGAGAACGCCAAGCCCGGACAGCTTGTTGTTTGCCCTAGCCCATCCGAGCTATTAAGAGCGGAACTGGGATTTGAACCTGCGTGCAGTCCAGAGCCTGAGCTGAGCGCGTAGCCCCTTGTCCTTCACAGTGCCTGTGTAGTGAGTGACAGGACTGGAATGCGTGTTTTCTAGGCCACCGTTTCCACCTCACTGGCCTGCGCTTTGCCTCTGAGGAGGAGACTTCGGGTAGGGGTTTATTAAACGGGGTTTATAGTTTCTTTTCTAAGGGCTGCATATAGAACTCCTTAGCCCAGCGGTTTCAGGAATAGCTCCAGAAGAGTGGAAACAAACTAAAGGTTATCCAGAAAGCTATGTTTCTCCTCAAGTTTCAGTGGAAAGTGCCACAACGAGCAAGTTGGCAATGCCCTCTCAAACGGCACAGTAAACACAAAAAAAATTCGGGTTCCTGCCTAGGACCTGTACCATGGAACTCTCCAAACAGGAATCTTTGAGTCAACTTTAAGTTTCCCTGCTCTCCCGTTATCACTGCCCTCGAAAATATTAAGCAATACACTACAATAACAGCAGACATTCATATAGTGCCTTCTGAGACCCAGGTACTGTCGTAACCCTTTCACATGGTTGCTCATTAATCCTCCAAACAATCCTGAAGAGTAGGTATTAAATACTTTTACTGTATCTATTTTACAGATGAAAGAATGGAGGCATTAAGTTAAGAAACTCTTGGCTCAGATAGCAATAGTAGCAGACATTGATTAACGTCTACATGTGTTGTGGTTTGTGATGTACTAGTGTGTGCTCTTGTCTATTTCACTTGATAGTCCGTTCTCTAGATGAGGGTAGTGATACTCAAGGCTTTACTAGGGTTGCCAAAGCTAGTAAATGGTTTCAAGCTGGAATTGGAATGTAGAGTCTGAGTATGTATTATTTCCTCTGTTTGTCTGAAATGCATATAATCTTGGGTTTGGATTACCTATTAGGGTGTCAAAATTACCATAAATTGCATAATAACTTAGTAGCTAAGAAAAAACTTGGAGAATAAGAGACTAGGCTGGGCGTGGTGGCTCACACCTGTAATCCTAGCACTTTGGGAGGCCAAGGTGAGTGGATTGCCTGAGCTCAGGAGTTCAAGACCAGCCTGGGCAGCACAGTGAAGCCCCATCTCTACTAAAATACAAAAAAATTAGCCGGCGTGACAGTAGGTGCCGGTAGTCCCAGCTACTTGGGAGACTGAGGCAGGAGAATTGCTTGAACCGGGGAGGCGGAGGTGGCAGTGAGCTGAGTAGCAACACTGCATTCCAGCCTGGGTGACAGAGCGAGACTTTGTCTCCAAAAATGAAAAAAAGAGTAGGAGGAATGCAGAAAATTAGTAGTAAGGAAAGTAGGAATTTTGAAAAGATAAATTGCTTGGGGGGAGGAAGCAGTATGGCCATGCTGCCCCCTGCTGCTTTGCTTTGGAAGGAGCCCCAAGGTGTCATGTCCTCTGTGACTGTAAAGGTTCCAGGCAGTTCTGCCACACGTGGCAGCTGAGTACTTAAAATGCAGTTGGTATGACTGAGAAATTGACTTTTTACATTTATTTATTTTTATTTTGTTTTGAGACTAGGTCTAGCTCTGTCACCCAGGCTGGAGTTCAGTGGCACAATCTTGGCTCATTGCACAACCTCTGCCTCCTGGACTCAAGCTATCCTCCCACCTCAGCTTCCCAAGCTGGGACTACAGGTGTACACCACCACGTCCTGCAAACTTTTGTATCTTTTTGTAGAGATGAGGGGGTCTCACTATGTTTTCCAGTGTGGCCTCAAACTTCTGGACGCAAGCAATCCACCTGCCTTGGCCTCCCAAAGATGTGAGCCACTGTGCCTGGCCTGACTTTTTACTCTTAAATATTTTCCAGTACTTTGTAACTTTAATTAATCAATTTAAATTTAAATAGCCATATCTGGCTAGTAGCTCCTCTCTTGGATAAAAAAGGTCTAAGATGCAAGATCCTTCTTGGAGTCACACTTTGCAAATTTCAAGTGAGGTTTAAATCAGTTTCACCAGTTTGTATTCGGCCCTTGGATCTAAGTTCTGAGTTGCCTGTGGGCTGCCAGCTATTTTTTGCAGCCTAATTTTTCCAGTGATGGATGAATGTAAGACATTGATGTGTTTGTTCTCTCATCAATATCTCCTGGAATTGCTTTCAGTTGTACTCATTTCCTGTACAAAATTTCCTGACAAACTACTTACAGAATTCTTACTCTTTTTCTTTTTTTCTTTTTGTTTTTGTTGAGATGGAGTCTCGCCCTGTCACCAGGCTGGAATGCAGTGGCACAATCTTGGCTCACTGCAGCCTCTGCCTCCCGGGTTCAAGTTATTCTTTTGCCTCAGCCTCCCAAGTAGCTGGGATTACAGACACATGCCCCAACGCCCAGCTAATTTTTTTTTTTTTTTTTTGAGACGGAGTTCCACTGTTGTTACCCAGACTGGAGTGCAATGGCACGATCTCGGCTAACCGCAACCTCCGCCTCCTGGGTTCAAGCAATTCTCCTGCCTCAGCCTCCCGAGTAGCTTGGGACTACAGGTGCGCACCACCATGCCCAACTAATTTTTGTATTTTTAGTAGAGACGGGTTTTCACAGTGTTGACCAGGCTGATCTCGAACTCCTGACCTTGTGAGCCACCCACCTTGGCCTCCCACAGTGCTGGGATTACAGGCATAAGCTACCACGCCCAGCCCCCAGAATTCTTAAATTTGGTTTCTCTAAGAAAAATGGCTACCATCGTGCCAAGCACTAAGGATTAAGCAATAAATAAAGCTCCTAAAGAAGTATTCATTCTAGAGAGAAATGACAGGTTGATAAATATGTTAAAATGTCAGGCTGTGATAAGTGCTGTAAATAAAACCAGACTAAAGGGATAGAGAGTGACACAGAAGGGTGTTTTACACTGAAGTCAGGGAAGACCTCTCTGAAAAGATGACATTTGTTTCCAGAGACCAGAATGTGTGGGGGAGTGAATCAAGCAGAGATCTCGGGGCAGAAGGAACAGTCAAGAGCAGGATTATGTTGTTATTTATTGGAGCTTTCTTTTTTTTTTTTTTGGAGACAGAGTCTCATTCTATCCCCCAGGCTGGAGTGCAGTGGCGCCATCTCGGCTCACTGCAACCTCTGCTTCTCAGGTTCAAGCAATTCTCCTGCCTCAGCCTCCCAAGTAGCTGGGATTACAGGCGTGTGCCACCACACTGAGCTAATTTTTTTTGTATTTTTAGTAGAGACAGGATTTTACTGTGCTAGGCAGGATAGTCTCAATCTTCTGACCTCACGATCCACCTTCCTTGTCCTTTCAAAGTGCTGGGATTACAGGTGGGAGCCACTGCACCTGGCAGAGCTTTCTTAGAATATACTTTACCATGATTCATTGAGAAAGTCTCTCCCACTGCCCCACCACTCCTCAACCCCACTACCCCTGGCCAGTGTACTTTCAATGTGGTTGCCTCATATTTTAACTTATGAATTGGGAGATAGGATATTGCTGCTAATATGAATCAGATTTTTTCTTGGTGTCATTTCATTTAAATAACTGTGACACTGAGCCTATTTGATTTTATTTTGCCTATTCTGCAGACATTGGGTTTGCCTATCACAGATGAACAAATCGAGGAGATGAAATCCAACCTGGACAACATCGACTTCAAGATGGCAGCTGAGGAGGAGAAACAGTTACGACATGATGTGATGGCTCATGTGCACACGTTTGGCCACTGCTGCCCGAAAGCTGCAGGCATTATTCACCTTGGTGCCACCTCTTGCTATGTTGGAGACAATACAGTAGGAGCCCGTGTTGTTTCTACTTGGGACTCAATCTCTAGAATGCATTTGTCAATTTTATTTGATGTTGTCCAGTTTAGGAAGTAACACTATAGATCTTTATTTTTAGGAGTGTCTTGGTTGAAAACTCTGAGAAACTTTTTCAGCTTTTAGTGTCCTTCCAATCAAAGCTGTAAGCACCAAGTGACGTCTATAAAGTAAGACCTATAGATCATGCTTATGCATTGGTTGGCTGACATAAGCCAAGGCCTTAGCATTTTAATGGCTAAGGTAATTTTCCTTTTTTTTTTTTGAGACAGAGTCTCACTCTGTCACCCAGGCTGGAGTTGAGAGTTGCGATTTCAGCTCACTATAACCTCCACCTCCCAGGTTCAAGCGATTCTTGTGCCTCAGTCTCCCTGGTAGCTGGAATTACAGGTGCTTGCCAGCACACCCAACTAATTTTTGTATTTTTAGTAGGGAGGGGTTTTGCCATGTTGGTCAGGCTGGTCTCAAACTCTTAGCCTCAGGTGATCCACCCACCTTGGCCTTTTATAGTGCTGGGTTTACAGGTGTGAGCCATTGTGCTCAGACTTCAAAGGACTTGTCAAGTCCTTTGAAGACCTTTGAAGGATTGTGAAGTCCTTCAAAGACCCTGTCTCAAAAAAAATATTTTGAGACAGGGTCTTGCTTCTGTCACCTAGGCTGAAGTGCGGTGACACAAACATGGCTCACTGCAGCCTCAACCTTCTGGGCTCAAGCGATTCTCCCACCTCAGCCTCCTGAGTAGCTGGGACCACAGGCATGTGCCAGAGCACCAGCCTAATTTAAAAAATATTTTATAGAGGCAGTGTCTCACCACGTTGCCAAGAATGGTCTTGAACTCCTGGGTTCAAACAGTCCTCCTGCCTCAGCCTCTCAGTCCTGGGATTATAGGCATGAGTCACCATGGCTGGCTAAAATACTGTTTTTTTGAGGCAGAGTCTTGCTGTGTCGCCCAAGCTGGAGTGCAGTGACACAAATGTGACTCATTGTAGCCTTGACCTTCTGGGCTCAAGTGATTCTCCCACCTCAGGTTCCTGAGTAGCTGGGACCACATGCATGTGCCACTGCACCTGGCTAACTTTTAAAATATGTTATGGAGACAGTATCTCACCATGTTGCCCAGAATGGTCTTGACTTCCTGGATTCAAACCATCTTCCTGCCTCAGCCTTCCAAAAGTCCTGGGATTACAGATGGGAGCCACCGCACCTAGCCTAGCTTGTGCTCTTTTTTTTTTTTGCTTTTGCCCCAGAACAGCTTGTGCTCTTAATCAGAGTATACCCATGGGGGTTGAAGTTAGATTCCAGATAAACGTCCAATTTGAGATAAGCCAGTAATTTTTAAGTTGCCCCCAAATACTTTCTTTAGTCATAAATGAAAGGCATCTTTTTGTGTAATTGGTGCGTTGGATAATGGGAGAACAGTCTTCTTACTCGGAAAATCCTTTGAAAAAGTATCCACTGTGGATAGGCTCAACAGTTACTGTTTCTTCCCCCCCCCCCCCCCCCCCGAGATGGAGTTTCGCTTTTGTTATCCAGGCTGGAGTGCAATGGCACGATCGGCTCACCGCAACCTCCGCCTCCTGGGTTCAGGCAATTCTCCTGCCTCAGCCTCCTGAGTAGCTGGGATTACAGGAACGTACCACCATGCCCAGCTAATTTTTTGAATTTTTGGTAGAGATGGGGTTTCACCATGTTGACCAGGATGGTCTCGATCTCTTAACCTCGTGATCCACCCGCCTCAGCCTCCCAAACTGCTGGGATTACAGGCTTGAGCCACCATGCCCTGCAACAGTTAGTGTTTCATATAGGCATGTGTTGAAGTTGCCTGAAATATGCATATCTCAAGATCACTTTCCTCAATAGCAGTTTTATGTTTCCTAAACCTTGAGATTCTGGCTCATTCCTTTCCTTGTTAGCAACTGCAGGCAAGAAAAAACAGGAGGAAAGTAATGGAATGTGCCTTATGGAAGCTTCTCAGAAACTCCTCTCTAGGAAAATACAAACCTTGTTGACCTGCATATTTTCCAGTCATTGTATTTATTTTTATCTTTTTGAGTTAAATTTTTTTTTTAATATTGGAGAGACAGTCTTGCTGTGTTGCATAGGCTGATCTTGAACTCCTGGCCCTAAGCAGTCCACCTGTTTCAGCCTCCCAGAGTCCTGGGAATACAGGCATGCACTGCCATGCCTAGCCTTCAGTCATCTTAGATACCATGTACCTTGGGCTTTGTAAGTATAAAGGTTTTGTTCCTTCTAGATCCCGTAGTACTGTTAAGCCAGTGTGCTTCTCAAACGGTAACCAGGAAAGAACAACTTGCGTTAGTGTTTTCTGGCATGCTTGGTGGGTTGGTAATGGTGATATAGGCTGGTAGCTGAGCAGCTCAGCCTTTTGGCCAAAAAAGTGTTTCATTATAATACTGTTTGAGCAAAGCTGCTTAATATAAGATCATTGCATTTTCTTTTGTAGGACTTGATTATTCTTAGAAATGCCCTTGACCTGCTTTTGCCAAAGGTAAGGAGCTGCAGATGTTTCCTACCAACTCTAGATTCCCTATGATAGGAGGTAGGCACCAGTGACAACTAAATCCACACAAGGTAAATCTACATAGATTGTCATCTTTTCAGGTGAATGGAAACCCTATGTTTAATCTGTAGAACTAATTGTTTCTCCTTCTCCTCTTTCTCCTCCTCTTTCGCCTCCGCCTCCGCCGCCGCCTCCTCCTCCTCCTCCTCCTCCTCCTCCTCCTCCTCCTCCTTTGCCTCCTCTGCCTCCTCCCTCCTTCTCCCTCTCCCTCTCCCTCTCCCTCTCCTCCTCCTCCTCCTCCTCCTCCTTATTCTCTTTCTCCTCCTCCTCCTCCTCCTCCTTCTCTTTCTCCTCCTCCTCCTTCTCCTCCTCCTTTGCCTCCTCCCTCCTTCTCCCTCTCCCTCTCCTCCTCCTCCTCCTTCTTCTCTTTCTCCCCCTCCTCCTCCTCCCCCTCCTCCTCCTCCTTCTCCTCCTCCCCCTCCACCCCCTCCCCCCCTCCTCCCCTCCTCCTCCTCCTTCTCCTCCTCCTCCTCCTCCTCCGCCTCCTCCTCCCTCTCCCTCTCCCTCTCTTCCTCCTCTGTCTCCTCCTTCGTCTCCTCCTTTCTTCTTTTCCTCCTCCTCCTTTCTTCTTGAGACAGGGTCTCATTCTGTCAAGTGGCTTTATCACGGCTCAGTGCAGTCTCCCCTTCCCAGTCACAGACAGTTCTCCTGTCTCAGTCTCCCAAGTAGCTGGGGGTACAGGTGCATGCCTCCTCACCTGGCTAATTTTTTGTAGAAATGGAGTTTTTTTCATGTTGCCCAGACTGGTCTCAAAACTCCTGAGCACAAGGGATCCACCCGTCTTGACCTCCCAAAGTGTTGGGATTACAGGTGTGAGCCACTGCACCCAGCTGTCTCTTCTTTAAAAGGCTCTGAATGAATTTTTTCTTTTTTTTTGAGCTGGAGTCATACTCCGTCACCCAGGCTGGAGTGCATTGTTACACTCTTGGCTCACTGCCACCTTTGCCTCCTGGGTTCAAGCAATTCTCCTGCCTCAGCCTCCCTAATAGCTGGAATTAGAGGCATGCGGCACCGTGCCCAGCTAATTTTTGCATTTTTAGTAGAGACGGGGTTTCACCATGTTGGTCAGGCTGGTCTCGAACTCCTAACCTCATGATCCACCTGCCTTGGCCTCCCAGAATGCTGGGATTACAGGCTTGAGCCGCTGCGCCTGGCCAAGTGAATGGTTTTTAAAGCATAGCCTTTTACATGAAGAGAGTGCAACCAAAGGCATGTTGCTGGAATATATGGGTCATGATTATAATTTTGTTGTTTTCCTGCACTGGTCTTAAAATAGTTCACGACATAATAGGTAGTCAAGTTGGTTTTCAAATTTTGGTTGCTATGAACTCTTCCAGGCACTTTAGGATACAAAGATGAAAAGATATGGCTGCTGCCTTTCATGAGCAGTCTAATTTTATACAAAATTATCTAAAAGTCTTGTTTCTAATTATGTAATGAACACAACCTGAATTCAACCTCTTTCTGTCACATGATCTTTCTTGTAGCTTGCCAGAGTGATCTCTCGGCTTGCCGACTTTGCTAAGGAACGAGCCAGTCTACCCACGTTAGGTTTCACACATTTCCAGTAAGTGACAAGATTACTTCTTGTTTATGTGCATATGGCTTTCAGCTACTTCTTGAGTTCTCTCTTTTCCACAGTAACCTTGAGGTGAAGAATCTGAAAACATGATTAAGTATACGTAATTCAGGATGCTTATTAAGGAATGAGGCTGATATCCACCTTAAAACATACTGGTGAGAGAGTAAATCTAACAGTTCATTTGGGAAACATGGGGAAATACATATCAAAAGCCTTGAAAAATATTATTTATGATAGTAAGCATTAAAAACAATCTCAATGGGCCGGGCGTGGTAGCCCACGCCTGTAAACCCAGCACTTTGGGAGGTCAAGGTGGGCAGATCACTTGAGGTTAGGAGTTCAACACCAACCAGCCTGGCCAACATGGTGAAACTTCATCTCTACTAAAAAGACAAAAATTAGCTGGGTGTGGTGGCATGTGCCTATAATCCCTGCTGAGACAGGAGGATCACTTGAACCTGGGAGGCAGAGGTTTCAATGAGCCGAGATCGCACCACTGCACTCCAGCCTGGGCAACATAGCAAGTCTCCGTCTCAAAAAAAAAAAAGGAAAGAGAAAGAAAAATCTAAATGTTCAACAGTAAGAGAATAAGGCATAGTGAAGCCGGGCGCGGTGGCTCAAGCCTGTAATCCCAGCACTTTGGGAGGCCAAGGCGGGTGGATCACAAGGTCGAGAGATCGAAACCAACCTGGTCAACATGGTGAAACCCCGTCTCTACTAAAAATACAAAAAATTAGCTGGGCATGGTGGCGTGTGCCTGTAATCCCAGCTACTCAGGAGGCTGAGGCAGGAGAATTGCCTGAACCCAGGAGGCGGAGGTTGCGGTGAGCCGAGATCGCGCCATTGCACTCCAGCCTGGGTAACAAGAGCGAAACTCCGTCTCAAAAAAAAAAAAAAAGGCATAGTGTTCATAGGTTGGAATAATATGCAACTATTTAAGTGATGCTTGTAAGCCCTAACATGTAGATGCACTTAGGTTAATGTTATGGTTAAAAAAAAAAAAGGCAGCTTATAAATTGCACAAAAACTGGTTTAAAGTATGCCATGATATAAATGTTGATTACTCTGGTTTATGGGATAATCGGAAAGTTAAATTTCTTCTTTTTGAGTTTTGTTTTGTTTTGTTTTTGGAGAGAGAGTCTTGCTCCGTTGCCCAGGCTGGAGTGCAGTGGTGTGATTTTGGCTCACCCTCACTACAATCTCTGCCTCCTGGGTTCAAATGATTCTCCCGCCTCAGCCTTCCTAGTAGCTGGGACTTCAGGCACCTGCCGCCACACCCAGCTAATTTTTGTATTGTTTGGCAAGATGGGGTTTCTCCATGTTGGCCAGGCTGGTCTCGAACTTCTGACCTCAAGTGATCTGCCCACCCCTGCCTCCCAGAATGCTAAGATTATAGGCGTGAGCCAGTGCCCCCAGACATACTTTTTGTATATTTGACTTTTAAAATATGCAAGTATTTTTGTGATTACTGAATAAAGCCCTTTTAAAAGGCTGAAATGGTGTAATTTCGTAATGCTAGTGACAGGTTTTGAGTGATAATATTTGAGTAATGGTATCAGCATCTGCCTTTTGTTTTGATGGTGTATTGCTGTGGCAACAAAGATATGATAATTTATGAAAGCCTGTTGAGCTTAATCTTTCGTAAAGGCAGGGACCAAACTTACTGGTAGCAGGAGCCTGAAACACTTGTTCACATGAATCAGTGCCTGGTGCTTGGTACATGTGGCTTCCCTCCACACCTACCTTCCTCTGTGTTGCAGCTACTCTTCCTCTCCTGCCTCTGTGGGAGAGTGCTCAGCAAATACAGAAGCACTCTAATATTCCTCTGGAGATAGCATAATGGAGGAGGTTGGCTGCCAGGGATCGTAGTCATTAGGAACTCAGAAAATGGTGTTGGTGTGCAAGCATCTTCCCCTCAGTGTATCGGTTCATGCGATTAAAAACAAACAGGCTGCTGGGCGCAATGGCTCCTGCCTGTAATCCCCGCACCTTGGGAGGCCAAGGTGGGTGGATCACCTGAGGTCAGGAGTTTGAGACCAGCTTGACAAACATGGAGAAACTGCGTCTCTACCAAAAATACAAAATTAAGGGGCCGGGCGCGGTGGCTCAAGCCTGTAATCCCAGCACTTTGGGAGGCCGAGGCGGGTGGATCACGAGGTCAAGAGATCGAGACCATCCTGGTCAACAAGGTGAAACCCCGTCTCTACTAAAAATACAAAAAGTTAGCTGGGCATGGTGGTGCGTTCCTGTAATCTCAGCTACTCAGGAGGCTGAGGCAGGAGAATTGCCTGAACCCAGGAGGCGGAGGTTGCGGTGAGCCGACATCGCGCCATTGCACTCCAGCCTGGGTAACGAGTGAAACTCCGTCTCAAAAACAAAAAAAAAAAAAACAAAAAAAAAAAACAAAATTAACTGGGCGTGGTGGTGCATGCCTGTAATCCCAGCTACTTGGGACGCTGAGGCAGGAGACGCTTGAACCCGGGAGATGGAGGTTTCAGTAAGCTGGGATCATGCCATTGCACTCCAACCTGGGCAACAAGAGCGAAACTCCATCTCAAAAAAAAAACCAACAACAAAAAAGAAACGGCCGGATGCAGTGGCTCACGCCTGTATTCCTAGCACTTTGGGTGGCCAAGGTGGGTGGATCACGAAGTCCGGAGATCGAGACCATCCTGGCCAACATGGTGAAACACTGTCTGTACTGAAAATAAAAAATTAGCTGGGTGTCGTAGCCGGTGCCTTTACTCTCAGCTACCCAGGAGGCTGAGACAGGAGAATCGCTTGAACCCGAGAGGCGGAGGTTGGAGTGAGCCAAGATAGCGATGCTGCACCCCAGCCTGGGAGACATGAGACTCCGTCTCAAAAAAGAAAAAAGAGGCCGGGCGCGGTGGCTCAAGCCTGTAATCCCAGCACTTTGGGAGGCCGAGGCGGGTGGATCATGAGGTCGAGAGATCGAGACCATCCCGGTCAACATAGCGAAACCCCGTCTCTACTAAAAATACAAAAAATTAGCTGGGCATAGTGGCACGTGCCTGTAATCCCAGCTACTCGAGAGGCTGAGGCAGGAGAATTGCCTGAACCCAGGAGGCGGAGGTTGCGGTGAGCCGAGATCGCGCCATTGCACTCCAGCCTGGGTAACAAGAGCGAAACTCTGTCTCAAAAAAAAAAAAGAAAGAAAAAAGAAATTAGGCTGGGCATAGTGGCTTATGCCTGTAATCTCAGCACTTTGGGTGGCCAAGGCAGGAGGATAGTTTGAGACGTGGAGTTTGAGACCAGCCTAGGCAACACAGGGAGACCATGGCTCTTAAAAAAAAAAAAAAAAAAAAAATAGCCGGGTGTGGTGGCTTGTGCTTGTAGTTCCAGCTACTCAGGAGGCTGAGGTGGGAGGATGGCTTGAGCCCAGGAGACTAAGGCTACAGTGAGCTGCGATTATGCTACTGCGTGCCAGCCTGCGGTGACCCTGTTTCAAAAAAGATAGAAAGAAATTGGACATTAGTGCAATTGATTCATAGTATGTATTTTGTTTGTTTTGTTCTGTTTTGAGACAGAGTCTTACTCTGTTGCCTAGGTTGGAGTGCAGTGGTGTGATCTTGGCTCATTGCAACCTCCACTTCCCGGGTTCAAGCGATTCTCCCACCTCAGCCTCCCAAGTAGCTGTGATTATACGTGTGTGCCACCACGCTCAGCCAATTTCAGAGACAGGGTTTCGCTATGTTGGACAGGCTGATCTCCTGGCCTCAAGTGATCGGCCTTCCAAAGTGTTGGGATTACAGGAATGAGCCACTGCACCTGGCCTCCTAATTATATTTTATGTTCAGAAACAGACCTTCAGTGGCTTGATATAGGCTTAACACTAGAAACAAAGCCGTTAGCTGCCATGTTTGTGAGTCTTCTGCTTGTGTGTGTTGTAGGGTTGTTGTCCATAGCATGACTACTCCTCACTGGATTTTTTTTTTTTTTTTTTTTTGAGACGGAGTTTCGCTCTTGTTACCCAGGCCGGAGTGCAATGGCGCGATCTCAACTCACCGCAACCTCTGCCTCCTGGGTTCAGGCAATTCTCCTGCCTCAGCCTCCTGAGTAGCTGGGATTACAGGCACGCACCACCATGCCCAGCTAATGTTTTGTATTTTTAGTAGAGATGGGGTTTCACCATGTTAACCAGGATGGTATCGATCTCTTGACCTCGTGATCCACCCTCCTCGGCCTCCCAAAGTGCTGGGATTATAGGCGTGAGCCACCACACCCGGCTCCTCCCTGGATCTTGACTCCTCACAAAGGCTTTCCTCTACTGCCAGTCTAGGGCAGCCGTCACCATTATTTTCATCCTTGTTTTATTCTTTTAGCACTTAAATTATTAATAATTAATCTTGTTTCTTTATTTGGTTTTTATTGAGACAGGAGTCTGGCTCTGTCACCCCGGCTAGAGTGCAATAGCACGATCTCGACTCACTGCAACCTCTGCCTCTCAGGTTCAAGTGGTTCTCCTACTTCAGCCTCCTAAGTAGCTGGAATTAGAGGCACCCCCCTCACCACGTCCGGCTAATTTTCTGTATTTTTAGTAGAGGCGAGGTTTCACCCTGTTGGCCAAGCTGGTCTCGAACTCCTGACCTCAGGTGATCCACACTCCTCAGCCTCTCAAAGTGCTGGGATTACAGATGTGAGCCACTGCACCTGGCCTAATCTTGTTTTGTTTTCTTCTTTACTTGTTTCAATGTAAGCAAGTGCCATTGGACAAGGACCTTGTCTGTGTTACTCCTGGTTGTATTTTCAATAGCAAGAGCACATCAGATACTTGTCAAATATCACATGAGTACCTAATGTATTTCTTACTGATGTCTGTGAATATAGTCATGAACAAAAGGGACATTGTCCCTGCCCTTATAATAAATTGCTTCTTGCCATGTACCATGGTGACTCATGCCTGTAATCCCAACACTTTGGGAGGCTGAGGTGGGTGGATTGAGACAGAGTTTGAGACCAGCCTGGCAACAAAGTGAGACCCCATCACTACAAAAAATTAAAAAATTAGCCAGGCATGGTGGTGCGTGCCTGTGGTCCCAGCTACATGGGAGGCTGAGGCAGGAAGATCACTTGAGCCCAGGATGTTGAGGCTACAGTCAGCTCTGTGTTCATGCCTCTGTATTCCAGCTTGGGCAACAGAGCAAGACCCAGTCTAAAAATAATAATAATAATTTAAAAATTGCCTCTTGATGAAGAAAGAACCATGCTAATAGCCCTTTAGTTTCATACTCCTTGAATATTTATAAATGACATTGAATCTCCATAACTATATTTAGTTAAATATTTTAGCTCTTGTTTTGTCTTTACTAGTTATTCAATCTCTTACTTCAGTTGTTCTCCTTCCAAGGAGCAGTGGTGGTTATTAAAAGAAGCAATGAAACCTTGATGATGTGAGTCTTGGTTTGAGACTTCTGTGTGTTCTCTTTGGGGTTTCAGGCCTGCACAGCTGACCACAGTTGGGAAACGTTGCTGTCTTTGGATTCAGGATCTTTGCATGGATCTCCAGAACTTGAAGCGTGTCCGAGATGACCTGCGCTTCCGGGGAGTGAAGGGCACCACTGGCACTCAGGCCAGTTTCCTGCAGCTCTTCGAGGGAGATGACCATAAGGTATCTGAAAGTGACCTGCAGGACACAGAAACTCAGTGGAGGAGCCTAACAGACAAGGCTGCCTTCGAGGATGATAGGAGAGAGTGATTGTGGGATGGGTGGGTCTTTGGACTAGAAAGAGATCGTGGGGGCTGGGGGAATAAGACCTGGGTGGGATGACAGGTTGAGGCATTCTCATACTGGACACCTGGATTATTGTAGGGATATGTCTTTTCTTTCCAAGGTAGAGCAGCTTGACAAGATGGTGACAGAAAAGGCAGGATTTAAGAGGTAGGTAAGTGGGAACATGTTGATCTCCCTGTTAAGTTGATAAAAGTTCTGTGTTCAGTATACCTCTAGATTTGACCTTAAAATTTTTGGCTTTTTCTTTCTTTGTTCTTTGTTCTTCTCCCCTCCCCCACACACCTTTTTTTTTTTTTTTTTTTTTTTTTTTTTTTTTTTTGAGACGTAGTTTCACTCTTGTTCCCCAGGCTGGAGTGAAATGGCGCGATCTCGCTCACTGCAACCTCCGCCTCCTGGGTTCAGGCAATTCTCCTGCCTCAGCCTCCTGAGTAGCTGGGATTACAGGCACGCGCCACCATGCCCAGCTAATTTTTTGTATTTTTAGTAGAGATGGGGTTTCACTATGCTGACCAGGATGGTCTTGATCTCTCGACCTCGTGATCCACCCGCCTCGGCCTCCCAAAGTGCTGGGATTACAGGCTTGAGCCACCGCGCCCGGCCCTTTTTTTTTTTAAAGACAGGGTTTCACCATATTGGTCAGGCTGGTCTAAAACTCCTGACCTCAGGTGATCCGCCTGCCTCAGCCTCCCAAAGTGCTGGGATTACAGGCGTGAGCCACCGCGCCCGGCTTTTTTTTTTTTTTTTGTCTCTAGCCTGTTTTTTATTTTCTTATTATCTGGATTCTTTTTTTTTTTTCTTTTTCCTAATCGTTTTCTTGACGTATTTTCTGGATTTGATTTGATTAATGTTTTTGAGACCAGGTCTTACTCTGTCATCCAGGCTGGAGTGCAGTGGTGTGATCTTGACTCATTGCTGCCTCCGTCTCCCAGTTTTAAGCAGTGCTTCCGCCCAAGCCCCCTAAGTAGCTATGACTACAGGCATGCCTGGCTACTCTTCGTATTGTTTTTGTAGAGATACTGTTTCACCATGTTGCCCAGGCCGGTCCCAAATTCCTAAGATCAAGCGATCCACCTGCCTCAGCCTCCCAAAGTGCTAGGATTTAGGCATGAGCCACCATGCCTGGCCTACATTCTTATTTTTGTATAATCTGTAGGAAAAAAGAAAACAATTTACTTCTGATTTCTTTAGAATACCTTTATCCACGTTGTTGCCATTTTTGTTTCTTTACTTAGGGCCTCCAACAGGGTAGGCTAAATCTGACCATTTCCACTGAGGTCTACCAGGTTCCCCAATGGCTCTTTCTCCCATGCATTTGTATTGAGCTTTGGCTGGACATGGGCACATTGCACCATGTATCCTTCTGGAGTCAGGCCAGTGTCCTGCGTAGTAGTGAAAAGTGTGGAAGAATAGTTTATTCCAGGAGCAGGTTACCAGTCAGGTCCACTGGCTCAGTATAACCTAGTATACCAACAAGACCAAGCTTTTCTTTCGGATGTGTTTTTCCTTGTTTGACAGAGTCACATTTTGAATTATTATTATTTTACAAGTCTCCCAATGATGCTTAAGCTGGCCTTAACCTCCTGAGTTTAAGCAGTTTTCCTCCCTTAGTCTCCTGAGTAGCTGGGACAACAGTCATTCACCACTGCAATGGCTTTAAAATATATATATATATTTTTTTTTTCTTTTGAGACGGAGTTTCGCTCTTGTTACCCAGGCTGGAGTGCAATGGCGCGATCTCGGCTCACCGCAACCTCCGCCTCCTGGGTTCAGGCAATTCTCCTGCCTCAGCCTCCTGAGTAGCTGGGATTACAGGCACGCGCCACCATGCCCAGCTAATTTTTTGTATTTTTAGTAGAGACGGGGTTTCACCATGTTGACCGGGATGGTCTCGATCTCTCGACCTCGTGATCCCCCCGCCTCAGCCTCCCAAAGTGCTGGGATTACAGGCTTGAGCCACCGCACCCGGCCTGGCTTTAAAATATTTTAACATAAGTCTCTCTTCGATTTATTTCTAGAGCTTTCATCATCACAGGGCAGACATATTCACGAAAAGTGGATATTGAAGTACTGTCTGTGCTGGCTAGCTTGGGGGCGTCAGTGCACAAGGTGAGTGGTGGCAGCTGGTGGGGCGGGGACGGGAGCTCTGGGTAACACAGACAGACTGAATCAGCCTCAGACTTCTACTTAACCATCTCTCTCAAGCAATATCATACATTAGTTTTAATAATTTGTGGTCTGTAAATGAAACCATTAAGGGAAAGACTAGTTTTGGTATTTAAAGTTATCCCAAGCACTGCAAAACATCCATCCATCTTGTTACAATGGTGGATTAAATTTTTTTTTTTTTTTTTTTTTTTTTTGAGATGGAGTTTTGCTCCTTTTGCCCAGGCTGGAGTGTAGTGGCGTGATCTTGGCTCACTGTAACATCCGCCTCCCGGGTTCAAGCAGTTCTCTTGCCTCAGCCTCCCAAGTAGCTAGGATTCCAGGCATGCACCACCATGCCTGGCTATGTTTGTAATTTTGGTGGAGATGGGGTTTTACCACATTGGCTTGGCTGGTCTCAAACTCCTGACCTTAGGTGATCCACCCACCTCATCCTCCCAAAGTGCTGGGATTGCAGGCTTGAGCCACCACGCCCAGCCTAAATTAATTGTGTGATTGTCTTTCCATGATGCCTTAAGCAGTGTTTCACAAAAGCGTTTTCATGCTCCTTGAATTTGTCCATCCAGCACTTCGTGAACAGAGAGGAGTATGAGTAAGATATTCTCTTGACGCGCTGGTCTTCAGCTGAGCCACAGCACACCTAAGAGCTCATCTCCTTCGTCAGCCTAGTCATTGCTCCCAGACTCCCCTGCACACTGACAGTGTGGGATGATGCTTGTTCCCCTGCCCCCCGCAGATTTGCACCGACATACGCCTCCTGGCAAACCTCAAGGAGATGGAGGAACCTTTTGAAAAACAGCAGATTGGTGAGTGCTGTGTAGAGACCTGTGAGCACACAGAGCTGCTGGAGGGCTGTGGATAGGGGCTGAGAGCTCATTCAGCAGCCTAATTGCCTACTCGCTGTCCTCTGCAGTGTCTCTGCCTTTGCATCTTGTCCTTTTTCACATGGGCAGGCTCAAGTGCAATGCCGTATAAGCGGAATCCCATGCGTTCAGAACGTTGCTGCAGTCTTGCCCGCCACCTGATGACCCTTGTTATGGACCCGCTGCAGACAGCATCTGTCCAGTGGTTTGAACGCACACTGGATGATAGTGCCAACCGGTCAGTGACATGGGGACCTCACATACACCAAGTTGGGAGGAGGTCTGAAGGACAGACCTAGAAGTAAAAGGACATATTTGAGCATCTCTACAATCTCCTTATCCCCAAGGAGCCCAAAGTCTAGGAAGGAGGCAAAACATAAAAAGGACAGTGTAATATGTGTTAGAATTGAAGTGTGTACTGGGTGCTGTGGGATCATAGAGGAAGGAATAGTGTTTGAGGAATCAGAAAGCTTCACAGTAGAGCTGATGCCTTAAGAATTAAGAAATAAGGCCGGGCACAGTGGCTCAAGCCTGTAATCCCAGCACTTTGGGAGGCCGAGGCGGGTGGATCACGAGGTCAAGAGATCGAGACCATCCTGGTCAACATGGTGAAACCCCGTCTCTACTAAAAAAAAAAATACAAAAAATTAGCTGGGCATGGTGATGCGTGCCTGTAATCCCAGCTACTCAGGAGGCTGAGGCAGGAGAATTGCCTGAACCCAGGAGGCGGAGGTTGCGGTGAGCCGGGATCGCGCCATTGCACTCCAGCCTGGGTAACAAGAGCGAAACTCCGTCTCAAAAAAAAAAAAAAAGAAAAGAGAAAAGACAAGATCAGGAGCATTATAAAGGCACAGAGCAGGAGAAAACACACTTGAGGGAGTTACCACTACTTGAGTTACCTTGGGGAATGAAGTCAACACGTGCCAGGGGGCGGCACAGGACATGGTCCCAGATAGTAGCCAATTTATGAAAGATCTTCTGGGCCTTTTCTGAAGGCAGATAGATGTCAGTTGTGGTGTCTAGGCACAATGACATCTTGATTAGCTATGAGATGAGTCAGAAATAATTTGTAACTACTGATGAGGTGTCAGCATGCACATGGTTTTCTGTTTATGTATATGCTCATTTAAAGCAGATTGACATTACTCTCATCTACTTGCATTGTCCTGGACTTTCTTAAGTGGATATGGATGTATAGTTAAACCTAGCTTTCTGGAATCTCTGCATAATCCAGGATTTACCTCTGGAAATAAGTCACGTGAATTCATTCGGAAGTTAGCCATTGAATACTTTTTAGCGAGGTGTGACCCTGTAGGCCTGCTGACTTGCCTGCTGAAACACCCTAGCAACAGTTGGAGAGCTGGCTGTCAGGAGACATGGCTGTCAGAACAAGTTAGGGGCTACTTTGAAAGTCCAAGGCCACGTTGATGCGGTGGCCACATAAATGGAGAGGAAGGATACAGATCCGGAGTTGAAGGCAGACTGGCCAGCCCTGGTGGTTGATCTGAGTGAGCATAAAGAACCTGGTGACTGGGGTGCTCCTGCCCTTTACTGATGCAGGAGCTACAAGGGAAGAAGGGCAGGTTCGTGCTGCTAAGTAGGAGGAGTGAGAAAGTGGCTGAGTTCAGTTTGGGGACTGAGTTACCTACGGGTCAACCAGGTGGATGTCTCAGTAGGATAAGGTCTGGCGCTTGGGCAAGTGGTCTGTCCTGGAGGTGACAGAGTTGAGAGTCATGAGGTCATTGGGGTAGTCATGAGATTGAAGGAAATTACCCACAGAGAGTCAGTAGGGCAACTTCTTGGGACACACACTGCATTTCACTGAAGTTATTTGTCTAAAGAGATACTGAACGGCTATTTGTTTTCTAGACGGATCTGTTTGGCTGAGGCATTTCTTACTGCGGATACTATACTGAACACACTGCAGAATGTTTCTGAAGGATTGGTAGTGTACCCCAAAGTAAGAAGCCTCAATTAAAAAGTAAAGTATTAGGGAGGGGTTGGAATGTGGGAGGGAGGGTGATCTGGGGTATGTCAAGGGAGCTGTATTCAGATCCTATAGGCCTTCTTCCCACCCGAGCTCATCCTTCAGTTCACAGGCTCTAGGAAACTAGCTCTGTGGGATTCATAGACACATTTATAGAAAAGGAAAAAAGTATTTTAAATTGCCTTAAACTATCCAGCAGCATGAATCATCAGCTCTGGCGTGACTAGGCAGAGTAGATGGCTCCATTTGCCTGTATGTAAGTACCTGAGGCAGATGGGTTCATTTGTCTCCTATACTTAGCTCTTGAGGCTGGGCACTGAAATGTAACAAATAGGGGTTTTAAGAATTCTTTGTACGTGACAACTTTTTAAATTAATATTCCCTTTTTTAAAAATCAAAAGTCTGAGTTCGTAAGAAAACTGAGAAAACATCATATAGAATAAAACAACCCATTACTGTCTCCATAATGTGGTAGTGTCTGTGCTGTGCATTTTGTTTGACATCCTGCTGTGTTTATGACTTTAGCCTTGAGGCACCTTTCTTGGCCATTCACTTTATCTTTTCCTATAGGTAATTGAACGGCGCATTCGGCAAGAGCTGCCTTTCATGGCCACAGAGAACATCATCATGGCCATGGTCAAAGCTGGAGGTAGCCGCCAGGTTTGTGACCCCTCATGGTCCTGGATAAGTTAAGAGTGCACGTTTGGTCCTGCTTTCTCCTCCATAAAGGAGAGCAGATAAAGGAAAGTGTTTATGTCATTACCTCAGTCACAGTAATGGTACAGAGCAGTGGCCATATTCTGCCATCTATGGAGGATGATTGTGGTGAACTCAGTTTGTTAAAGGGAATCACTTAGGCCAGGCGCGGTGGCTCACGCCTGTAATCCCAAAACTTTGGGAGACTGAGGTGGGCGGATCACATGGTCAGAAGATTGAGACCATCCTGGTTAACACGGTGAAACCCTGTCTCTACTAAATATACAAAAAATTAGCCAGGTGTGGTGGCACATGCCTGTAGTCCCAGCTACTCGGGAGGCTGAGGCAAGAATTGCTTGAACCCAGGAGGCGGAGGTTGCAGTTAGCCGAGATCACACCACTGCACTCCAGACTGGATGACAGAGGTAGATTCTGTCTCAAAAAAAAAAAAAAAGTGAATCACTTAATCACTTGTAGGAAAAGTCCATGCCTAGTGAAGGAATGAGGTCTGACATTCCATAGTGAATGTCAAGTGAACAGGAAACAAGAGCAAATGATTCATGAGGGTTTACAGAAGAGGGCCAGAGCCAGGGCATCCACTTCAGGCTTGTCCTAAAATGTAGTCAGAGAGTAGTGAAGGCCCTGTTGGAGACAGACAGGGGAACCACCTCAGTGTAGAGGGGTTTCATGTAGAAGAGCTGTGCAGACAGCATAGAGGTGACGTATCTGATGAGTTATTTAAAGAGTGTTCAAACACCCTGTTAGTGGAGAACTGACAATATTTCACTGTTTTCCCAGGATTGCCATGAGAAAATCAGAGTGCTTTCTCAGCAGGCAGCTGCTGTGGTTAAGCAGGAAGGGGGTGACAATGACCTCATAGAGCGTATCCAGGCTGATGCCTACTTTAGTCCCATTCACTCCCAGTTGGATCGTTTACTGGATCCTTCTTCCTTCACTGGTCGCGCCTCCCAGCAGGTAAGCATACATCAGAATGCATCTGAGGAGTCATCCCTAGAAGCCCTCTTTTCTGCTGGGCCGCAGAACCTAGACTACTCTCTTTGATGTTTTTGCTTTATAGGAGGTAGGTGGCAATGGAGCTAGTTAGAAGGAAATCAGAGCAGGTTGTTGGCTAAAATTTAGAGATTTAGGTTTTGTTTCTGTTTTTGTGGGTTTTTTTGTTTTGTTTTATTTTGTGTTTTTTTTTTTTTGAGGCAGGGTCTCTTTGTCACCCAGGCTGGAGTGCAGTGGTGCTGGAGTTACAGGCATGAGCCATCACACCTGACCAAGATGTGTTTTGAGCTTCCTTAAGTACTTCTTTGTATTCTCTTTTGGTTTTGAGAATGTGGTGTAATGGACAAAGAATTAGATTTTATTGTCAGGTGGATACCCTGGTGTTGTAAAGATTGAAATGCCTGAGTGTATACCAGGTGCTCAGGTACTGTATTTAATTCTGGGGATTTAAAAATGAATAGATAAGCCAGGCTCACACCAGTAATCCCAGCACTTTGGGAGGCTGAGGCAGGAGGATTGCTTGAGCTCAGGAGTTCAAGACCATCCTGGGAAACATAGTGAAACCTTGTCTCTACACAAAATAATAAAATTAGCCAGGCTTGGTGGAATGCGCTTATAGTCTCAGCTACTCAGGGGCTCAGGCGGGAGGATAGCTTGAGCCTAGGAGGTCAAGGATGCAGTGGGCTGTGTTCATACCCCTGCCCTCTGGCCTGGGTGACAAAGTGAGATCCTGTGTCAAAAAAAATAAAGATGAACAGATAATGCTCATCTTCAGAAAAGTCACAACTTAGTGATGAAGACTTGTAAATAGGTCATTATAGTACCAGGCAGTAGGTGCAAGAACCGAGGGCTGAAAGACTTAAAACTGGAGGTAGGAGACCGATGAGGAGGCTACTGCCCAGGGCCAAGCAGGAGATGGTGAAGATGGTGAGAGCTTCGTGTGAAGGCGGTGGTGAGGTGCAGACCAGGGAGGGAGAGGAGGATGAATCCTGGTGGCTACTTGAAGAGGGCTGGGAAGCAGGAGGAAAGAAGCCGTGATGATTTTTAGATTGGATGGAAATGGTGAAACCACTTGAGAGAACACAGGCTGGGCTAGTTTGCGGGAGAGGTTGGTGGGCACGTGGGCATGGTGAGTTAGGCAGAAATTCCTGATAGGCAGTTGAGGAAAACAAGCTCTGGTGAAGTAAAGCTTTATCAAATTAGGTTTCAGTGGTACCACCAGACATTGGAAAAGGTATTATCCGTTAATATCTTAACGTTTTCTTTTGTATCTGCTTTCCTCTGGCAGGTGCAGAGATTCTTAGAAGAGGAGGTGTATCCCCTGTTAAAACCATATGAAAGTGTGATGAAGGTCAAAGCAGAATTATGTCTGTAGAGCTGGAAGAGAATTAAATGAAAAATCATTGTTAATTGCTGAGGCATGAAAATTCTGTTATTGTAATGCCTTATTTTACCTTAAGAACTGTTACCTTAAATAAATACAGCATTTTCTTCTTCCCATGGTGCTTTCCCATTTCTCAAGGTCTCACATTTCTCAACAGTGCAGAAACAATGCGCATTGAAGTTTACTGTCTTGTTTACAACAACACAAACTTGCATAAGAAATGTAGTTCATACTTGATCTCTGTTCTTTCAAGACATATTTTCCAGCTGCCTTGTTTAGTCCTTTTCATGTGTTCATTTGCTTGTAAAGTAGCATGAAATTTCTGGTCCTGTCTTCTACACAGGAATTTGATCTAGGTCTGGCAAAATAACCTGGAGTCAGTGATTGAGTCAGCCTTTCATTTACATTATCTGTGGCTAGAATAAATAATGAAGTTTGGAACTACAACAAATACTTTAAAAATATAGGCCGGGCGCGGTGGCTCATGCCTGTAATCCCAGCACTTTGGGAGGCCGAGGCTGGTGGATCACGAGGTCATCAGATCGAGACCATCCTGGTCAACATGGTGAAACCCCGTCTCTACTAAAAATACAAAAATTAGCTGGGCATGGTGGCGCACGCCTGTAATCCCAGCTACTCAGGAGGCTGAGGCAGGAGAATTGCCTGAACCCAGGAGGCGGAGGTTGCAGTGAGCTGAGATCGTGCCATTGCACTTCAGCCTGGGTAACAAGAGCAAAACTCCATCTCAAAAGAAAAAAAAAAAATGAATAAATAAATATATATATATACACACACACACACACACACAACAAAAAAAACAAACCCTGATGTGATTCATAAGGGTTACTCCGCTAAAGTTGAGCCCAGCCTCATTTCATCTTTTGATGGCAGCTTATGTATCAGGGAAATGCTAATTGAGTCTATTGATTTCATCAGGGCACCTGACAGTCTTTATTCCTTGTTGCATGGACTTTGTTGTTGAGTCTTGCTGTCACCCAGTCTAGAGTGCCACAGCACAGTCTCGCAACCTCTGCTTCCCAACTAGCTGGGATGACAGGCAGCTGCCACCACACCTGGCTAATTTTTGTATTTTTTTTTTTTTTTTTTTTTGAGACGGAGTTTCGCTCTTGTTACCCGGGCTGGAGTGCAATGGCGCGATCTCGGCTCACCACAACCTCTGCCTCCTGGGTTCAAGCAATTCTCCTGCCTCAGCCTCCCTAGTAGCTGGGACTACAGGCGTGCGCCACCATGCCCAGCTAATTTTTGTATTTTTAGTAGAGACGGGGTTTCACCATGTTGACCAGGATGGTCTCGATCTCTTGACCTCGTGATCCACCCGCCTCAGCCTCCCAAAGTGCTGGGATTACAGGCGTGAGCCACCGCGCCCGGCCTTTTTGTATTTTTAATAGGGACGAGGTTTTGCCGTATTGGCCAGGCTGGTCTTAAATTCCTCAAGTGATCCGCCCACCTCAGACCCCCAAAGTGCTTGGATTACAGGCGTGAGCCACGGCCCCTGACTTCCTTGTTGTATGGATTTATGGCTGATTGAAGCAACTGTAGCCAAAGATTAATTACCTACCTGCAAGGAGAGCACTAGTGTTAGCCCATTCTCATCCTGTGTATTTTTCAGCTTAGATGAAGATGCAAGCTTTATCAGATTTGCAGATGACACAAAACTGGGAGAATTAACAAGTACATTTATTTGGCAAAACAAGTTTTCGTCTCTAACCTAAGTAGGCTGAAATGATAAGCCCTAAACTAAGAGGAAAAAGTTAATAAAGATAAATGTAAATAAGTCCATCTTAAACTCAGTATGCATCAGAACTGAGAGAAGACTGTTTTAGGATATGTCAATGTTGTCCAGTGCCCAAAAGCCACCAGAGGCTTACGGCCCCACACTCTTGTCATTAGGTTCAATTTTGGATAACCTGTCTGAGGAACAGAGATGAACTGGAGAGCCAACCTCCAAAGAGGTGGTGGAGGATTGCTAGGGCCCTTTATCCTCTACAGGAGAAAACCTGTCGGCCCTTCAAACATTGCCGTGTGGAAGAAGAGTGACTTGGCTGTATGTTGCCCCAAGAGACACACTGAAATCAATACCCATTATTAAGGCTCTGAGACTGGTCTGGGCCCAGACATTGGAACCGCTGAGTTTAGCAACCTACCCTCAATCTCCCAGGTCAGGCAGAAGCTGGAAGATTGCCTAGTTGTTAGGAATGTTGTGAGGGAGGGGAGGACGAATCGGTTCCAGTTTTATCTAAAAGTAGCTAAAAAAGCAAGTTGCAATGATGCGCCTTTACAGTCCCAGCTACTTGGGAAGCTGAGGCAATAGGGCCACTTGAGCCCAGGAGTTCAGTCCAGGCTGGGTGACATAGTGAGACTTTGTCACTTAAAAAATCCAGAAGAGGCCGGGCGCGGTGGCTCAAGTCTGTAATCCCAGCACTTTGGGAGGCTGAGGCGGGTGGATCACAAGGTCGAGAGATCGAGACCATCCTGGTCAACATGGTGAAACCCCGTCTCTACTAAAAATACAAAAATCTAGCTGGGCGTGGTGGCGTGTGCCTCTAATCCCAGCTACTTAGGAGGCTGAGGCAGGAGAATTGCTTGAGCCCCCAGGAGGCGGAGGTTGCGGTGAGCCGAGATCGCGCCATTGCACTCCAGCCTGGGTAACAAGAGCGAAACTCCGTCTCAAAAAAAAAAAAAAAAAAAAAAAAAAAAATCCAGAAGAGGCCGGGCACGGTGGCTCACGCCTGTAATCCCAGCACTTTGGGAGGCCGAGGCGGGTGGATCACGAGGTCAAAAGACCGAGACCATCCTGGTCAACATAGTGAAACCCCGCCTCTACTAAAAATACAAAAAATTAGCTGGGCATGGTGGCGCGTGCCTGTAGTCCCAGCTACTCAGGAGGCTGAGGCAGGAGAATTGCCTGAACCTGGGAGGCGAAGGTTGCAGTGAGCCGAGATCGCGCCACTGCACTCCAGCCTGGGTAACAAGAGTGAAACTCCATCTCAAAAAAAAAAAAAAAAAAAAAAAAAAAAAATCCAGAAGAGGCCGGGCACGGTGGCTCAAGCCTGTAATCCCAGTGCTTAGGGAAGCCGAGGCGGGTGGATCACGAGGTCGAGATCGAGACCATCCTGGTCAACATGGTGAAACCCCGTCTCTACTAAAAATACAAAAAATTAGCTGGGCATGGTGGCGCGTGCCTGTAATCCCAGCTACTCAGGAGGCTGAGGCAGGAGAATTGCCTGAACCCAGGAGATGGAGGTTGCGGTGAGCCGAGATCGCGCCATTGCACCACTCCAGCCTGGGTAACAGGAGCGAAACTCCATCTCAAAAAAAAAAAAAAAAAAAAAAAAAAAAACCAGAAGAGAAGAGCTCAACCTATTGGGAAAAACCATAGAAGGCAATTCTGAAAACCAAATTCTGAGTATAGGCTAGTACAGCAAGCAAGGAGGGATAGGATAGAGCCATTTGCTCAACTTCCAGAAAGAGTTACTCTATCTCTTTTAAAAATCTTGAAAAGATACTAAGTCTGACAGAAGGAAATTAAGCCATTGGACTCTGACCAGATGCTCTGCTTCCTTCTTTGGTATGGGCGACTTAGAGACAGCAGCTACTATCAGTTTATCTGTAATCTGAGAATTTATCTTACATACCAGACATACTGGGGATATAGGATACCATGGATTTTAGTTAATACATTTCTTCATAGAGAATAAGGAAATAAGATAACAATCTTGTTCTAACAATTCTGTTAGACTCATGATCTCTAGTGATTGGCAGTTTGGCCTGGTTTCTTCCTGGACCATTTAGATAGGTGGGTTTGTTGGTGTATCTCTGTCTTTCCTTTTCCTTTCTCCTTTGTTTTTGTATTTATACATTTGTATGGAACTTTTTAATCTGATTTTCCTAGGTAACATTTTAATTAGATGTATTTGGGTGATCTGCATGTTCACTGGAAAACATATTTTTTATATATATGTGAATGACAGGATCTTGCTCGGTTGCCCAGGCTGGAACAGGTCACTGCACCCTGGATTTCCTGAGCTCAAGCGATCCTCTCACCTCAGCCTCTTGAGTAGCTGGGACTATGGCACACACAACCACACCTCGCTAATTTTCTGTTGTTTTTTTGCAGAGACAGGGTCTCACTACGTTACGTTAACTCATGCTGTTGTATTTAAGATTGGTTTAAATTCATGCAAACTCTAGCATCAGAACTACCCAGATGTCAGGTTCTGGGCAGAACATGGGACAACTGTTGAAATGTCTGTTCAGCTGCAGTCAGACACCTGGGCACTTAGTGCCCTCTCCCTGGCTGATGCTCAGTTTCATTTAAGAACCAGGAGAGGGCCAGGCGCAGTGGCTTACACTTGTAATTCCAGCACTTATGGAGGCCGAGGTGAACATATCACAAGGTCAAGAGTTAGCGACCAACTTGGCCAACACAGTGAAACCCCATCTCTACTAAAAATACAAAAATTAGCTCTGGGTGTGGTGGCGGGTGCCTGTAATCCCAGCTACTCAGGAGGCTGAGGCAGGAGAATTGCTTGAACGGGGGAGGCAGAGGTTGCAGTGAGCCCACATTGTGCCCTTGCACGCCAGCCTGGGTGACAGAGCTAGACTCCCTCTCAAAAACAAAAACAAAAACAACCCAAGAGAGGAGAGCCTGATATTTGTAAATATAGCTTTAGTGGAAGCACAAGTTAGGAGCCATGAAAGGTGAAAGGAACCCTGGGTGGATGTGAGGGTGATGTGAGACAGGAATTGCACAGCATAGGATCTGACACAGAAGGTACTCAGAAAATTTTGTTTTCTGGCTGGGCGTGGTGGTGTGTGCCTGTAGTCCCAGCTACTAGGGAGGCTGAGGCACGAAAATAGCTTGAACCCAGGAGGTAGAGGTTGCAGTAAGCTGAGATCGCGCCACTATACTCCAGCCTGGGTGACAGAGCGAGAGACTCGGTCTCAAAAAAAAAACAAAACAAAACAAAAGAAAATTTTGTCTTCCTTCCTGAGCGCAGGAAGACTCGCCAACCTTCCCATTCCGTGTGGTCAGTGAGGGAGCAAACTGACCTGAGAATGCTGCTGTTAGGTTCGCCTGCCACGGAGG